AAAATGCAATGTATAAAACTCAAAAAATCTCAGCACCTTAAATAGTGAATATTTCTTTTTCTCACTCACAAAATTGTAGTCAGTTGAGCTTCACTAGTCTCGCCTGACTTAGTTGCAGGTTTGGGGTCTGATCCATATGTGTCCATTCTGAGGCTTAGGTTGAACAGTGTTATCTCCACCTGGGTTGATGTCATGGTGATAGCGGAAACCCAAGATGGCAAACTAGCCATTCTAGCACATTCTGAGAGCTTCTGCTTACATCCCCTCCCATCAGCTAAAGAAGGTCCTGTGAGGGCCGGGGATTTAGCTCAGTGGTTCTTCCGCTTGCTTTGCAAGCACAAGGTCCTGAATTTAATCCCAGGTACCTAAAAAAAAGAAGGTCCTGTGAACAAGCCTAAGTAAAGAGGTGGGAAGTACTTTGAGGTGGAGCTACAGCAGGGGGTGGCTGTCTAACCAACATGAGGATTGAAGAACTGGAGCCAGTTACTTAGTTATTCTGTCTTCCTTAACCTCCCAATGAATTACCCGCTCCCCAAACTCATTATTACTCTTTTGTCTAAGGATCATCATCCCTGGTCCCTAAGCAATTATTTTCACCACGGTATCCCTCTCACAAAGTATAGCTCAGTAAATACATGTTGAATAAATAACCGGCAACTGATCTCCCTGGTTGTATTCATTCTCCTCTGATACCTTTCCACATGCAACCAGAGATTTGGGTTTTGGTTTTGGCTTTTGTGGTCCTGCGGGTCAGACCTACATCTTGTGCATGCCTGGCAAGTGCTCTATAGCTGAGCTAAACCCTCTGCCCCAGAGTAAGCTTTTAAAAGCATCTATCGTAGTATTTCAGTTCCAGCTCCAGACCTACTCTGGCTTACCTTTATACTGGAACTCCTCACTGCAGCCTTTGTGAAAGAAAGCCCATCCGTTATCCAGCCAGGCGTGGCTCTGCAAATGCACCTCCTACTCCAGTTACTTCCTTTCTCTCCCTCTTATGTTCCAAGTGTCTTTCAATTGCAAGTCCTTTGTACTTGCTATTTCCTGACTGCAGTGCTTTTTCTCAGCCTCTTAGCATACTGGCTTCTTCTCAGTCTCAGCTTCTGCTATATTGTCACCTCCTTGGACAAGCCTTCCTAGACCACTGACACCCCTAACTGCTTAAAGACATCCTCCTCCATTACATTGTACATCCTCCTCCATTACATTTAACAACCTACCTGTTTAATGTTCGGACCCACATTCAGACTTATAGCCCAGTAACGTGGGCAGCAGTACAGCCATTTGGTGGCTTCATCTACTTCTATATGCAATTCTATACATAAAAATTCCAAATTTCTTGGTCAGTATACTCAAGAGTGAACACAGCCATATTATAGTGAGAAGCTATGGATCTAAATTTTGAACACTTCACAAAAGTGGAACACCAAATGACTGGGCGTTTAAGATGCTATCATGAAGTTTGTGAAACAAAAACGACGTAACAGACCACACTAACAGGATTCTTCTCAAAAGCTACACCCAGGACCCTCACTACTAGTTCTTCTATTTCTATTTCATCATCCCTTATGCAGGCCTACATTTCCTGCTCATAATTCTTTGTGTGTGTATGTGGAACTGGGGATCAAACTGAGGAGCTTGTACTTGCAAGGCAAGCATGGCACCACTGAGTTAAATCTCTGGCGTGATTATAATTCTGATGATGACACTGATGAGGACTTTGAAAGACTCGATGACTAAAATATTAGCTTGAATGTCTGTATTTTTGTATAGTTCAGCACATCTTGGTTATAGAGCCTCAATATCTTTCTTGTAGTGTACCTTGTTTATACAGTGCTGTAATTTTTGCTGATTATACTGCTGTGACAGCTTGTGTGTAGATGTCCCCCCAACTTCTCATGCAATCATAGGTGGGGATTTTCAGGGGTAACCCGCCCTGGGAATGGTGGGTAGCTTGGAAGAAGTAAAAGAAAAGGGCAGGCTGTTCTTTCTGCTGCTATTACCTTCTGCCTTTTTTTTTTTGGTACCAGGGATTGAACTCAGGTCCTTGCGCTTGCGAGGCAGGCCACCGAACCCCTGAGCTAAATCCCCAGCCCTCTTCTGCCTTTTTTCTGCTCTGCCACACTATGAACTAATTCCCCTCTGCCATGTGCCACCCTGCCTTGGAGCCAACCAATTACGGATTGATACCCCTCCAAGCTGTGAGCTGAAATCAACCTTTCCTCCCTTAACCTCAGGTGGGTATTTTTGTCTCAGCAGCACAAAAAGTAATGAAGACAACTGCAGAGTACAGTACTGTAGTTTCATGTTCTGTTGTACATTCCAGTGCAGCAGGTGAGAGTTAAGCAAATAAAAGCAAAGTCATCAAGCTGACATTTCCTTTGATAATTTCTTTGTTCTGAATATTGTAGCTTTGCACAGTGGCAGTATCATAGCCAATGAGGTTTATACAAGGCTCAATTATTGCTAACTGAATATTGTAATCTGTAATTCCTCATTTAACAACCAATTTATTTACCTACCTAGTCACAGGAACAAAGTTTAAGAACAAAGTGTCTGTATTACCATCACCCCATTTACATCTTTCAATGTGTTAATCACTCTCTGACGCTACCATATTTTGTTCATCACTGATCTCAAAGACTTACAGTATTGTCTGGCACATATTAAGTGTCCTGCAGAAATCTGTTGTGTGAATATATGCAAAATGTTTCACCCATATTTTTAGAGAAATTCTCTCCTACCTTATATTTTCATGTTCATTCATTTATAAAATGGTGTTGAGTAAGTCCAAGTAAAATCAGTTCAAGCTGAATAGAGATTTGGAATGTCTTTGTTAATAAAGAATCTGGGATCTGCAGTTGTTTTAGCCTTGCTGCTACATCTTGTACCTTGCACTTCAGGCATCAGCCTGTGGGGTGAGGGTCTCAGTGAGGGCTACCCAGGCAGCTACCCCTTCACCTCCTTGGGGTCATCTGTCTTGCCTGGCCCATTTAGTTCCTTTCCATGCTTACTATTCATTAACATACTAGATAACTTACTTATAATTATTGTTTTTTTGCTTGTCTGACACCCCCCTCTCCACACTGTAACATACTGCTGTGATCTTTGTGAAGGCAAGGATCCTCTTCATTTTTTCTGGTACTAAATGAGTTCTCGATCCATTCTGAAATGAATGAATAAATGTCTAAATGAGAGAAAGAAGTCTGGGAAGGCCCAGCGTCCTTTCCCATCAACCCATCCGGATTGGGTCATCCCCTCTTTTTCAGTAAACATCTCAAGGCACTACATACACAGTCTCCTTGATATGTGAGTGAGTACTGGTTTGTTCATCCTCAGAATGATTTCACGTGTAAATTTATAAACCCATCCTTCTGTGTACCTGTTGATGTTTTGTATGTGAGATCCTTTGTTCACCCCAAACATACATAAGGATGAATTTAGCTTAATACTGTGGCATCGTGATAGGATAAAATGTGATGAAGTTGAGCTCCATCCTGTGGAGGCTATTTTCTCTGTGAAGACTGCTTTTCCTCTTTCCTAAAGAGCAGTCTAGAAGTCATTAAAATGACAAAGAACACTAAGCACTTACTTTATCCTCATGAAAGTACTGGAAGAAAAGAAAAAGAGTACAAGAACCACAACTATTATACCTTTCTAGGAGGAGAACACTTCAAAATCTTCCCAATTAGAAGCTATAATTTTCTAATTTCAATTTTTCTTAGGACTATGAAATTAAAATATTATGTTCTTAGTCATTTTTTTCATACAAACCTGATCATTGTCATGAAATCACCCCATCCCTGTTCTTCAAAAGATCAACAGGGCTGCTGGGTTATAACTCATTGCTAGATTGTTGTGCTTAGCATGCTTGAGGCCCTAGGTTGGATACTCTGCACCAAAATAAAAGAAAAGAGCCACAAAGGGAATTTTTTCTTTAGAAAGTACAGTTAAACTGTGCATGTTGGCACTCTGGGAGGTGGAGGCAGAAGGACTGCAAGTTTGAGAGCTCAGCCTGGGGAGTTTAGCAATTTAGCAAAACACTGTCTCAAAATAAAAGTAAAAAAGGGCTGGGACTGCAGCTCAACATGAAGCTGTGAGCTCAACCCTCCATACAACAACAGATACAGTGAACTGGGGGCTGGGGTCATAGCTCAGTGGTAGTGCCTTGTCTAGCAGGCTCAAGGCCCTAGGTTCTATCCCCAGCATCTAAAAACAAAATAAAACGAAAACAAAACACTACTGTGACTCTTCTTTGAAACAAATGCGATATAGAAGTTACTCTCTTTAGTTTGAACAGTTGTATTTTAGATTTCTTGGAGGTAGTTACATGACTCTTTATGTAAACTTTTATCTCTCTCATTTAAAAGAAAGGATGAAGGAAAGGAATTAGCCCAATAATTATTTAAAATACCTGGTGCAACTGTTCCTGTGAATTAATCGGGGCACTTGGAAGACAATTACACTCAGTGTTCATAACATTGCCAACCTTTTCCAGTACGCTGCACTCCAAATACGATTGTGTTCTCATTGACAACATTCACTATACATATGCATATGAAAAACAGGCATTTTCATCAGAATTACCGTAATAGCATTAAGAGATTATTATTTTTTTTAATTTCCTTGGAAGAAAATTTACTTAAATTAGATTATTTATTATTTGACTGCTCTCCTATCTTGCCTGTATGTTTAGGTAACTGGAGTCCACGAAAGTAGAAACTTCAGAATAAAAAGCATGATTTTATACATTAATGATTTCAAATAAAGGAGGAGCACTACTGTTTGTGCATCACTTCTTTTGAGAAAGTTAAGTCTGTGTTCTGCTTAGAAGAGATAACACTTTTTGTCCCTGTAGGTGGCCCCCCTGGTGTAGCCATTAGTTGCTAATTACTTGCAAACAAATAAACAATTAACTCCTTAAGCTGCTGGCTGGGTGAGTGTTCATTGACATGCTAAAACTGTCTAAAACAGGATTTTAATTAGTGACGTTCTAAATCCAGCCCCCTCGTCAGCAGAGCTATAAGGTGAACTCGGGAAGAGCCCACCCCTGTGCACGTGGGGCCAAGCGGGCGAAAGGCCAGAACTCTCGCTGTGGCTGTGCAGCCGGGAAAGGATGTCTCCCAGCCTTCAGGAAGGTGCCCAGCTCAGGGAAAGCAAACCATCACCCTGCTCCTTTTCAATCGAGAGCATCTTAGGACTGGACCAGAAGAAAGACTGTTTTCCAGCACCGAAACCTCACAGGTCATGGGCAGATACATGCAGCTCCTCAGGTATGCCAATACCTCATTTTTAAATGCTTTTTAAATTTCACTTGATTTTCTAGTTTGGTCTTTGTTTCGCAATGCATAGAGTGAGAGAGAAACCGGTTTCCTTCGATTACATAACTAGGACTGATCTGCATCTAGGACTTGTAATGCGTCCTGTGGGAAGTAGAGACTACCTGCCTTAGGTCTGAGTGGAGATGCCAAGAAACTGCATTTACTTCAGACAGTTCTGTGTATATTTGACACTCCCTCAAAATGAAAATAAAATAAAAATAATGTTTTCTATACCAAGGAGACATCTTTTGGAGATCCAGAAGGATTCCATTAGAAAAATTAAAGAAAAGTTATTGAAATTACTCATTACATAAATTTGTGGGACATGGGATTGGCTAGCTGAGATCAGATTTATTTTCCTGATTTCAGGGAAAGATGGTGACCTGTGTCTACCTGTCCCAAGTCTTCCCGGTGGAACCTCTTTTCCTTGCACAGCGGATCATCCAGTGGCAGAAGAAAGAGCTCTGAAATATGAACAGATCTTTTCGACCTCAGAAAGACTCTCTTTGAAAAGAGAGATGAGTTGGTATAGAGGACGAAGACCAAGAACTGCTTTTACCCAAAACCAGGTGGGAAGTCTTTTTGTCCGATAAATATTAGCAAGGCTTTCACTGATGTCAGGGAGGGAGAGCCCATTCACTGTGGGATTGCCATTCAGGAGCCCCGTGAATGAAACACCCAACTCATATTTTAAGCTTCTGGATAACTGCTTAAAAGGGATTTAGATTAATTGCCCAAGGTTTAAATGCAGTTATCTACTTATATAAATTGAAGTCCATTTTTGGTGACATACTATCAACTTTTGTAAACATTGCTTTTCTAAATTTCAGATTGAAGTATTGGAAAATGTCTTCAAAGTAAACTGCTACCCTGGCATTGATATCCGAGAAGACTTAGCTCAAAAACTGAATTTAGAGGAAGACAGAATCCAGGTAATTTTCAAATCTGGTTGTTAATCATGTTGACTGAAATGTTAAGAAGAATAACAAAATAATGTTTCTGAGACCTATTTTATTTTTGCTTAATTTTAGATTTGGTTCCAAAATCGGCGAGCAAAGCTGAAAAGGTCCCACAGAGAATCACAGTTTTTAATGGCGAAAAAAAATTTCAACACAAATCTCATGGAATAGATAGAGGAAAACTAAACAAGTGACCCTATCTTTCAATCGCAGAATGAATCAATGAAAATAACAAGTGTTTAAATGTGATGTTTTCTTTCTTCCATTTAATCCACATATTGTCATTTTTTTCTGAAAATATATTGTAAATAATTAAGATTATAGCATGATACATATTATATCTGGGCACTTTTAATTACATGAAAGATCTTTCCTATATATTTTAATAAACATTTTCAGAAAAGGCAGCTATTTTTTAAGTAAAGTTAACCTAATAAATCAATACACTAAAATCAGTAAACACACGACTTTGCACAAGCTGAATTCCATTTACAAAGTACTTCAAGTAAAATAATCTGAAAAAGAAGAGTACAGTTTACTTCAATTAGTTTCCATCAAACACATTTTCTTTTTTTTCCCCCTGGTATTGGGGATTGAACTCAGGTCCTTGCATTTGCGAGGCAGGCGCCAGAACTACTGAGCTAAATCCCCGGCCCCAAGCACATTTTCAAATATGATTATGTTTAACTGTATTATAAAATGATTTACTCGTGAATCCTGTTTTTATAGATTTATGGAGTAAATTATCATATATCAAAACAAAGCCTTCTGGCAAGCCAGTTTCTAATTTTTTGTGTTTTATTTTTTTAAGGGAAATCATGCCAAAATAGCAGTGTAAAACATCACTTGTCATAGTCATACCATTGCTATTGCACTACACAAAATAATTAAGCTGCAAATAAATGCAAACTTTTAAAATAGTTCTCTAATTCATTTAATATGTTCTAGTTTCATTCCTATAAATGGTGATGTCCATCTGGCTTATATCTATTTCCAATTTAATGATTTCTATTACACTGACTGAGAAGTGGGGTAAAACTGACCCGCCTTTCCTACCTGCGCTGACAGTCACTGGCAATAATTATGGCACTTTCTAAGCTAAGAAGTACATGTCTTCATTTTCCACTTCCCCAGTGTACCTGCCACTTAAAAGTGGGAAGAGGAGAAAATTTGTAGCAACTAAGGTGCCTTCTCTGGTTTATTTTCCAGTTATGAAAGACCTAAGTGGCGGGGGAATTTTTTTTTAATGGTAACGTGAGGACTCTGATTCTGTCTGCTGCGGGCTTGGTTCATTGGAACGGAATTCTCCTTTATCCCCCTTTTCTTTCTTTCCTGTTTCTGTTTCTCGTCTCTCCCAGTGATAATCAGAGCGGAAGGTTATTGCTGAATTATTGAATCTATGAACACTATATTTTTTTACTCTTTTTTAAATGAGAGTGTGCCTATTATTTCTGAAGAAAAGCAATGTTACTCCGTTTTTAGAGCTTTTTAAAATCCCTTTCCGACAACATTTTGGGGAGGAGGGCCCCTTGTCCCAACAATCGGTCAGTAATAAACTGCTTATTCCCGTTCACTGTTGCTAAGATAGGGAGGGAAGAAGATGGCAGGATAAGAAGGGCAGCAGGGCAGTTAACAGGAAGACCAGAGGTGTTAAACGTCTTCCAAGGAAGACTGAGGCTCTTTTCCAGCACAAAGAACTGCTTCTGTTAATGCAACAGTTGGAGAACTCTTGATGAACTGTCTTGGTCAAAATTTGCCCAGGAGGAGCTTTCTTTGCTTTTCATTAGATTGCTATGAAATTATGTTAAGTTGGAGGACTACAAGCCACCAAGAGTAGGCCTTAGGGAGTGGGTTGGAGGGGAAAGTCTTATGTGGTGTAAGCTTTCATTTTAATCCCAAAAGTCATATTTACATGCTGTAAATGTGCAGCATATAAAAGTAAATAAAATCTCCCACAACCTTCATCCTTCACTGATGACCACCCTTAATATTTGCATAGATGTTTTTGTATACCACAACAGCATGTGTGTGTGTACACATGCATATGTATTTGTTGCTTTTGTTTTGTTGTTTTGTTTTTTTTTGGTACCGGGGGGTTGAACTCCGGTCCTTGTGCTTGCAAGGCAGGCCACCGAACCGCTGAGCTAAATCCCCGGCCTTTGTTATTTTTTTTAATGTGATTACACTTTGTAATTTGTTCTGTATCTTTCCAATATCTTACCATGCCAGAATTAGAGCTCTTTCTCCTTAATGTCTGCTGAACTGAAGATAAGATTTCAAATCTTGCTCAGACCAAGAAACTGTTCCACATCCTAGTGTTAATTTAAGTGTTTTCCAAGTAGTACTTTTCATAAAATGGGGTTTTCAGGCCAGGGATTTAGCTCGTTGGTGACGCCACCTGCCTTGCAAGCACAAGGACCAGAGTTCAATGCCTGGTACCAAAAAAAAAAAAAAAAAAAAAAAAGAAAGAAAGAAAAGAAAAGGTGGGGGCGGTTCAAAAAGAAATGTTTATCTAAATTGGAGAATGTATCTAGAATTACATTTAACTCCCAGCCCCACTCCCTGAGGATTGTAAAGATTCTAGACAACATTATAGAATCCAGAAAAAAATGAAACAGCAACACAGACATTGATCGACAAGTAAAAGTGTGTCTAATTTTTTAAATTATAAAAACTGATCATACCTATAAAAAAGATGGTGAGCAAAAAAAAAAAAAAGGTGGTGAGCAAGTTCATAATATATTTAAGATGTTGATAATATTCAAGAAGCAAGATAATGCACAAGATCACCAGAATATTTTGTCTAAAATAATTTTCAAAACATTAAAAAATAAAGGCTGATCTTGTTAAAGAAAAGAATGACTCAGTAACAATTTTGGGATTACAGTCACGAGTAATTTGAGGAGAATATGATGATTTTCAGGGGAAAAACTAGCCTTTACCTTTGAGGGGGAAAAAAAAAAGCAAAATGGAAATGAAAACCTGAGCTAGAATTCTCTTTCCCTCAAAACACACAGGCTCTAATCCACAGCTTATCTCTGCTCCTGGTAATTCCAGGTCTTTGTCTCCATTAATACCCAAGACAAGGTGAACAGTAGTAACAAATCAAACTAATGCAGTCAAGCTAATACCTAGAGCGTCTCTATTATCTGGCAACCACCTAAATAAGGTTATTTGGTCTCCCGTAATGGCATTTGTCTCTTGTGAAGCCAACCAGACAAAGCCCATCACTAAAGAGCTGGTGGAAACAATGGCTGTGTGTGCTGGTGGCCAACCTTTGAGTTAATCACTGTTAATAGCTGCTTTCACCTCATGCATCTTATCACACATCACATGAGTGGCATAAATTTCCCATTACCAAACAACACGGCAACATCAACCTGGCTCACGTACCCGTTTCTAAAGGCACCAAGACTAGTCTGTTGGCTGGATGCAAAACCGAATCACTATGACAAACAAGGACTTGGTGTTTCCATTTCACCCAGCCCCACAGGAATGAAAAAATCACCACGAGCCCTTAGCTGACTTCATTGCTCATTTTTACTCTTTTGTCTCCTGTGTTGCAACCTCCACCCCCAACAGCAGTCCCGGCAGCTGTTTTTTTATTAGCATATGTTTGTGGTACATAACAAATACATTCCTCATGGGGAATTGGTACTTACATATAGTGCATCTTAATCCTTTTTACTTCCCATTTCCCTCCCTTCCCTCTTGTCTCCCCAATCTTCAGATTCCATCTTCATCTCCACAAAGTCTACTCTGTTTCCTATCATCTGTCTTTTATTTTGCGAAGCAGTTCTTGGTGGCTGTCTCACTCCCTTCTCTATTAGACTCACCTCTTCCCATTTTCCTCTCCTATTTTCACCGTTTTTCTTTTCCCCTGCTCATCAGCCTTGACAATTGTGTTGGTATCAGAAGGCTTTGCTGAATCCCACAGATGAACCTCCAAACCAAAAATGTTATTGCATGCCTTCTGTTGTAAAATCACCCACTTTTAGGAACTTACTGTCTGTTTTCTTTCTGCAGGTGTCCTTGGATGGCCCGGGGAATTATCTACTTTATCTAGCACGTTATGACAAGAATTACATCATAACTATGTCATACTGTCTACACTGCATCAAAAGCTTACAAAAAAAACCATGTATCTGCGTAGCTGCTGCCCCTTTAGACTGGTTTCCAAATGAAGAAACATAAGGCTCACCTGACCTCCCCTGAAGTCTGGAGCGAAGCCCCGGATGAGCCTGACTATATTCCACCAGATCCCAGCTGAACCACGGCCTGTGAGTGACTTTTCACCCTCTCAGATTGAGGGCTTATAAAGACATTATTGTTGCAACTACACAGGCGCTACAGTTTCTCTGACTGATGTGTCTCAGTTCTTTGCATGGTAGACATTTGATTAGCATATTTTGATTTCTTAACAGTTGCTTTTAATTTTATGATTTTTGCATTTAGAAATTTAAGTATCTTTAGCCAGGCTGGTGGCACATGCCTATAATCCCAGCACTCAGGAGGCTGAGGCAGGAGGATTGCTGTGAGTTCGAGACCAGCCTGGGCTACATAGTGAGTTCCAGGTCAGTCTCAACTACATAGTGAGACCCTGTCTCAAAAAAACCAAAAAAAAAAAAAAACCAAAAAAAAAAAAAAACCAAAAAAAAAAAAAAACCAAAAAAAAAAAAAAAAACCAAAAGAAATTTAACTATCTTTAATTAAAGTTATCTTTTCCTTTGTGATTTTTCTCCCGCTGCTTTCCCTGACACTTCCCATTTTTATGATCACTTTCTGACATCTTGATAACTGATCTCTATTATTTACTACATTTTTTGGCCCAGCAGTTTCCTTTTGTATAATGAATAGAATGGCCAGAACAATCCTCCTCACCAAAGTCATAAAGAGAAAAGGTGATTATGCTAATAATAAAAATAATACCACCATTTATTACATGCCTGCTCTAGACGGAATGTCTATGTCCCCCCAGAATTCATATGTTGAAATCTAACCCTAACGTAATCATATCTAGCAGTGGGACCTTTGGGAGGTGGCCATGTCTCGAGAAGAAAGCCCTCATAAACGAGATGGGTGTCTTTGTAAAAGGGACCCCAGAAAGCTACTTTGCCCCCAACCCCTGTGAGAAGCTGGGAGCAGGGCCTCACCAGACACTGATCTGCCCACACTTTAATCTTGTTCTTCCCAGCCTTCAAAACTATGAGAAAGTAATTCTTATTGTTTATAAGCTGGGTTTATGATACTTGCCTACCATGAGTCATGCAATGTGGTGCTTCACATGAGTTATCTCAGTTCATGTTCACTGTAATTCTGCAAGTTGGATATAGTCAACCCATTTTATGAATAAGGAATCATAGACTCAAATAGTTTTGTTATTATGATTTATTAGCCCCCCCACTTTTGTGACAAGGTCTCCTATGTAGTCAGGCTGGCCTTGAACTCATTATGTAGCCCCAGGCTGGCCTCAAAGTTACAGCAGTCCTCCTGCCTCAGCCTCCTAAATGCTGGGATTACACATGTGCCACCATGCCCAGCTAGAGTTGCCTCTTTGCACTGAGGTTTCAGAAGATAGAATCACTACCTGTCATTGTTAAAAGTTAGAAAAGTGGGCCAGGATTTGGCTCAGTGGTTCTGCAGCCTTACTTGGCAAGCACAAGGGCCTGCAGTCCATCCCTGTACTGCGTTTTTCTTTTATTCCTTCCTTCCTTGTTTTCGTGGACAGCATTGCAGTAATGGTGTGGGGAGTAGCAGAAGTCTGACGGCTGAACTGGTCAAGTTCTGCTAAGTTCTAAAAATACTTTATTGGGCCAGGGATTTAACTTAGTGGTTCTGCCACCTGCCTCAAAAGCTCAAGGTCCCTAATTCGATCCCCGGTATCCCCCCAAAAAAACTTTATTAATCGTATGCTCTCTATGTATAAGTAGTATTATGGCTAGAAAATATGTACTTCCTTATCAATATAAATGTTAAACCTTAAGTTAAGTTATAATGACAATAGCTAGATTTAAGGTTTTTATTTTGGTTTGGTGTTTTTGAGATTGGGGGGGGTCCCACTTTCTACTCCAGGCTGGCCTTGCACTATGAGCCCAGGTAACCTTGAGCTTGCAGTGATCCTCCTACCTCCGCCTCCTGAGTGCTGAGATAGATTTAAGTTCTTTTCCCCTAAAAGTTGCCATCAGAGATTTGTAGAAGTCTTGTTGTACTCATTCATCTAGAAGATAGCAGTATTCCACTTATAAAAATTTTTATTCATACAATCTATGCACATTATCTGCATAACAGGCTCTTCAGAAATAAAACATTGAGGGCTGGGGATTTAGCTCAGTGGTTCCACCGCCTGCCTTGCCAGCACAAGAGCCTGAGTTTGATCCCTGGTACAAAAAAAAAGTTATAGAATATGCATATTATATCATTTATGTAAAGAAAAAAGCAAAGTAAAAACTGAACATGTGTGGATGCAAGGACATATAAGTTATTGAAACTAACAAGTGATTAGTATGAGGAAAGAAAAAGGGAAAATTTACTTTTTTTACTTTTTATGCAGCTATGTGTTATAGTATAGGGTTAAGGGTAGGGTCTTAGTAGAGGGGATTTGGTTAAAATCACTACCAGGAAGAAAAAGTTCATAAAGTGTAAATCAAAATGACAATGAAATGCCACTTTATACCCACTAGGATGACTATAATAAAAAGACAGTCACAAAGACTGGCAAAAATATAGAGCAGTTAGAACATCCTACGTCACTGGTGATAATACAGACTATAAAGCCACTTTGGAAATAGTTCCTCAAAAAAGTTGCAAAGAGTTGCCATGTGACCCAGCAATTCCACTCCTCAATCTATACTCAAGAAAATTGAATGCATGTCCACACACCACCTTGTAGACCAGCATTTAATATTAGTCATAATAGCCAGAAAGTGGAAACACCCCGAATGACCATTGACTGATGCATGGTAAACAAAATGTAGCATATCTGTACAGTAGAGTAATATTCAGCCATAGAAAGGAACATAGAAGCCGGGCGTGGTGGTGCACGCCTGTAATCGCAACACTCAGGAAGCTGAGGCAGGAGGATTGCTGTGAGTTCAAGACCAGCCTGAGCTACATAGTGAGTTCCAGGTCAGTCTCAACTACATAGACTTCATAGTGAGACCTTGTCTCAAAAAACCAAAAAAGAAAGGAACATAGAAAGGAAAGGCTGAACACTGAAAGAAGCCAGTCACGAAAGGTCTCAAGCAGTGCTCTTCTGCTTATACGAAATGTCCAGAATAGCCCAAGCTATACGGACAAAAAGTAGATTAGTGGACGCCCGCAACCAGAAGGAGGGATGGGGAATGCTGCTAGTAGGTAGGGAGCTTTGGGACAGCGATGACAACGTTCTAGAACTAGCTATGGTGATGGTTGCAGAACTCTGTGAATAGGTGTTTTCATGAGAGCTCCCCAGGGATAGAGAACCAGCAGGATGTACGTACACACAGAGAAAGTAAGGTCAATGAATGGATTCTCACAACTGTGCAGGCCTGGCCAGTCCAAAATCTGATCTGGGAAGGTGGAAGGCTGGAGACAGGAAAGAGTTGAAGTTTGAGTCAGGCGTGGGAGCCAGGACGAGCTGCTGTTGCTGTACAAGTTCAGACGTCCTCGTTGGCCAATTCCCTCTTGCTCCGAGGAGGTCAGGTCTTTTGTTCTATTTAAGTGTGCTGTGGATTGGGTGAGGCCACATATGGAAGACAATATGTTTTACTCAGAGCCCACTGAGTCAAAGGTTAACTCATATGAAAACACTCACAGAAACTTCCAGAATAATGTTTGACCAAATATCTGGGGACTGTGGCCCAGCCAAGTTGACATGTAAGATTAACTATCGCAATATACTAAAAACCACTCAGTTGTACACTTTGAAAGGATGAATTTTATGGTATGTAAATTATATCTCAAAAAAATGTTTTTTAAAGGTAAAAAGAATCTTGGTAGTTGAAGCACTGATTATAGGGAAGGAACTAAAAAGTTCTCTGGGCACCCTCTGGAAAGACAGTGCTTTTAGAGGAGGATGGAGTAAAGAGGAAGGGAGAGATTCCTTTTGGGACTGTCTAGCAAAGGGGGAAGAAGCAAGAGGGAGAAAATTAGGATTTTGTAGCTTGGGTTGAAAGGAAAAGGACGGCCAATTAGTTACGCCTGTAATTTCAGCTACTCGGGAGACTGAAGCAGGGGATCACAGTGTGAGGCCAGCTTGGGCAACTTTGTGAGACCCTATCACCAAATAATAAAACAAAACTGAAAGAAGAAAGGGCCACGCTTGGGCAAATTGTATTAATTTCCTTATTATAATTCCTGCATTGAGTTTATGTGTTTGAAGTGCTTAAGGCTACAAGTTGACAATTTACTCTCAAATAATTCAGGAGAAAATGTTCTGGCTGGGGATTTAGGTTTAGCTCAGTGGCACTGCGCCTGCCTGTTAAGCGCAAGGTCCTGAGTTTGATCCCTGGTACAAAAAAAAAAAAAATCAAAAGGAGAAATGTTCTTTGTAGTGTACTTGAAACATTTTTTTTTATAGCTGCAAACAAAATTTTTTTTTGTTTTTTTTTTGTTTTTTTGAGACAGGGTCTCACTACGTAGTTGAGACTGACCTGGAACTCACTATGTAGCCCAGGCTGGTCTCGAACTCACAGCGATCCTCCTGCCTCAGCCTCCCAAGTGCTGGGATTATAGGTCTGGTCCACCACGCCTGGCTGCAAAATGTATTTTTTTTTTCCTCATTGAGTTTATTGGTACATTTTAGGTATGCAGTACAGTTACATTCATCATTGGGATCTTATACCTTTACATGACAGGTCTTGGTTCTCATTTCTTCCCCTTTCCCCTGTCCTCCCTTCACCTCCTTCTCCCTTCCCTATTTACAAATACTTTATTTCCATTTTTTCATTTTCTCATGTTTTTTTCTTTTCCCTTATTTCCTTTCCCCTGCCCTTCCTACTTCCCTACATCTTTGTGCAAAATGTGTTTAAGTCACACATACGCCCAGTAATAAAAAGGACGTCTTGCTATGACAATTAAATGAAGTGACATGGATAATGTTCTAGCATAATACACGATGTCAGGAGCTCAGTAAGCTTTTAAAAGAATTAAGAAAAATAAAAAACTATGAAAAAGCAGATTAGGACCATTATGCATAGAAAAGACATACGTTGGTACAAGATAATTGCTATTCAAGTCATCAACTTTTTGCTCTGTATGCTGTTGTGAGAGGCCTAGACAGGAAGCTGACTTTCC